GTATTTTTAAGCCCCACTCAACTCATAACCTACTTTTATTCCCATAGATAAATTTGGGTTGGTTGGTTGGTTTTTCTGACCAATAGTTCTGAAGCATCGAAGCTAACTCATTACCTGTTACTTTCTCTGTTAATATAGTTACTTGGGGGTCATACCAACTTAGAGATCTTCACTGTCATATACTTTTAAAGACCCTAATTCTGTGTCACTCAATTCATGTCTTGTGAGTCATTCCTTGAAAGATGGAATTCCCTGAAAATTAACCTCTAGACTCTAGCAAAAGACATAATAAACTACCTGCATATAAGTAATTTTTGTTCATGGAATGGCTTTAAAAAGGTACCATTTTTTTTCAAGATGAAATTCACATAACATAAAATTAACCATTTTATAGTTAACTCAGTAGCAGTGCATTCACAAGTTGCGTTCTAGTTCTTGTTGTCTACTTGTATAGTCACATAATAAGATCAGTGCTTAAAAAAATGAAGAGGAAACCCTGTATCCATTAAGCAGTTACTACTCCTTCTCCCAGCCCTGTTTTTTTAATGAAATTTTCTTTTTATTTAAGACATTTTAAAAATACAGACATAAAGAATATTTGTATTGCTGCTACTTAGAATTAATCATTAACATTTGTCATTTTGCTTGAAAAAATGTTTATAAAGTTACAAAAATGGCATTCCAAATGAAATTGAAGTATCCCTGGATTCAATCTTTAGTCCCATTCTTTTTCCCCAAACCTTAGTCAATATTTCTAATAAATTTGGTCTATATTCTTAAGTCTTTCTCCTTATCTCTAGATCTTAAAAAAAACTATGTAGCAATGTTTTTGTAAACTTATATGGTATATTGTACATATGCTGCTTACTTTATTCTACTCAGCATTGTTACTCTTTTATCTATTTGGTAGTAATTGTCCATTTTTTGATGGTTCTCCCATGTGACTCAACTATATTTAATGTAGCCATTTCCCCAAAACAGACTCCTAGGTTATTACTTTTTTCCATTACAGCTATGCCACAGTGAAGATCTATGTATATGCATGTCTAATGGTGTGACCATTTCTTTAGGGTATATCCACAAGTTAGTACAAGTGTATGTACATTTCCACGCTACTAGGTTTTGCCAGAATATTTTCCAAAGTGGCTGCACCTTGTTGCCAACAATTGCTGTTAGATTTTTTTCTTTAATTATTGCAGGTGGTATCTTGTTTTAATTTGCATTTCCTAATGTTTGTCATCTTTTCATATATTCATTAGTTATTCACGTATTCTCATTTCACTTTTCCTGTTCATTTTCTTTGTCCATTTTTCTTTTGGGTATTCTTTTTCTTGTCGATTTTAGATTTTTGCATATGCTCTCTAATCTTTTGTTGGTTATATATGTTTGCCAATATCACCTTTTATTTAAACAATTTTCAATTTTGATATAATGGAAATATTTTTAAACGGAGATTTGTGTTAATTCTGTTTAGTTTTGAATATGGTGACGTTGCCTTAAAAAGGCTTTGTTCTCTTTTGAGCTGTTGTTTTTAGTTTCAGTCTACTTATTATATTATCAGAAGTGTAATTTCAAATCTTTTTAAAGTATCTGAATTAAATGAGTTTTAAATGAAAAAATGGTCCTATTGAAATTCTGCCATGTGATGAAAGGTCAAACATTAAGTAGATAAGTCCAAAAGCATTTATAAATTAGACTGTAGTAGAAACATTAAGGGTGCTTCTAATACCTCTGCCCCCATGTAGTCCAGCAATCCAGAACTTATGTGTTCATTAAAATACTGAAGCTGGATTTTTTCTTCTCTTTTACAAACTACTAAATTAAGGTCTCCTTTTTGTTCCTCCAAGGGCCATATCTGTCAAAATAAACATCTAAACTCACACCAGTCCCTGTTTTATATGCATGGAGCTTGGATATTTATCTCAGTGTTCTTTCCTGGAAATGTTCTTTCAAGTATACACATTAATGTGACAGCTCAGTGCTCAAAACTGTAAGGCCTTTTCTCATCCAGTGTTGCTATATAGCAGTATCTAGTTTTTTTTTTTTTTTTTTTTAATGTTTTATTTATTTTTAGGAGAGAGAGAGAGAGACAGCGTGAGCAGGGGAGGGTCAGAGAGAGAGGGAGTCACAGGCTGAAACAGGCTCCAGGCTCCGAGCTGTCTGTCAGCACAGAGCCCGACGCGGGGCTTGAACCCACAAACGCGAGATCATGACCCAAGCGAAAGTCGGACGCTTAACCGACTAAGCCACCCAGGCGCCCCTAGCAGTATCTAGTTTTATATGTAGTAATATATGTGTATGAATCCCAGCCTTCATTTAGCTTCTTTGGATGTTACTCAGGAAACCTTGTCATTCACTTGATTTCATCTGTCATATACATGTACAGTTGATCCTTGAACAATGCACAGGTTAGGGGCACCAAACCCCTCACAAGTAGAGAATCTGCATGTAACTTTTGACTCCCCAGAAACTGAACTACCAGTACCCACTGTTGACTTGAAGCCTTGTTGTTAACCTCAACAGCTGATTGACAGTATTTTATATGTAATATACTGTATTCTTGTAATAAAGCGAGCTGGAGAAAATGTTTTGAAAATCCTAAGAGAAAGTACATTTAGTATTGTACTGTATCTATCAAAAAAATCTAATTAGACCCATGCAGTTCAAAGCTTTGTTGTTCAAGGGTCAACCATATAGTCTAGTGACAACTGATTACAAAAAAACATCTTAACCTGTTATTTCATGCTTTTTAAAGCTAAGTTTTTTTTTGGGGGGGGGCAGAATTATGAAACCAAGTTCAACCTGCACTGGTTTATTCCTTTTCAAGATATTTATTATTGAAATAGAGCACTCTGTCTGTATGATGGCAGGAATCTTGCTAAGAGAAGTATATTGACATTTGGTCCCTAGGAAATCTGAATTTTAAATAGGAATAAGACTGACTCTGTGAGAATTGCTACTTTATCCAGTAGAAAGTGTGAGATTAAAAATAGTTTTCTCTCCAATATTTAGGTTGGTCACAGCAGATGTAGCTTTTTACACTGGAAATCTTCAAGCCTTAAAAGGCCTTAAAGATTTGGACCTAAATATGTCCGAGATCTGGGAACAGAAGAGGTGATGACATACTGGAAAACTGGGTAGCTCATCTGACCATGCGATGTGTATGTTTATGAAGAAAATATGGATGCCTGTGATTCAAGAACTGAACCTGGAACCCAAAGTGAACTGGATAGGGGAGGGGGGAAAGGAAAGTATCAGTGTTGGGAAACTGGGATTCACTGGGATCTACAAGGAATGCTAGTTTTATGCTTCCTTCAGAAGTGAGGAGTAACTGATCAGGTGTCTATAACATTTTTCATTCTCTCTGGAAACAGACTCAGGTTTCTTTGGACCAAATCCAAAAGAACACATAGCTGTAACACAGCTGTAGTTGACTAGAATGCTCTGTATACTTTATATTAAAAAATGCTTTGCATTTCTTCCAGTGCAATGAAATTCATATGGTGTCCCACCTTATTTAATGATGGTACAATTTAAAATATTAAAATCTTAGTCAACCTCTGTAGAAAGTTTTCTCTATGAAAGTAAAGCTGTTTGAAAAATTATTTTTTTACAGATCTTTCTATAAAAAATAAACATCTTTTGATTGCTTGGATTTAGGAATTCACTTTTTGTTTTAGTGACCAATGTCAAGTTTCAGGCCTTGTGTGTCACATATTTAATCTTTCTATCACCACTGTATGTCATCTGAGTAAAGCCTTCCAGAATAGTCTAAATACTTGAAAGTCTGATCATAGTAATAAAGAAAAAGATACTGGCATTTATTTATGCAATTACTAATTTAAATACTTTTCAGAAGGGGTATGTAAAAGGCTGCAGTTTAATAGCTGTATTTTTATACAAGTATCTATGAAGGGTTGGTTTGTGGGGGTTTTTTGCCTTTTTATTTCTAGCAAATGGTTAGAATACATTTTCATATATTCCGCGTATTTATGAGTCCTCATTTTAACATTTAGATAACAGATGAAGTATGGCCTCCTTCAGTTTTGTTTTTAAGTTAACTTCGACGTGTATATGAACAAAGACCAGGGAGAAATGGAACTTTTAAAATACAGGCTGCTGTTTTGGGGCCAGAAGTATATAAGGTGATGAGTAAGTTATTTAAAGATTTTATAATACCTACCTTCAAAATTAGAATCAGCAGCACTCCACAAATCAAAGTGCCTGTGCCTCACCTCACACCGGGAGTCTTGCCTAACCCCGTCAGAGTGCCTAACCTTGTCGTGATTATGTACAATGAAATAATAGTCTTATTTTGTGCTCTTCCATTTCCTAAAAGGAAAGCCTGTTTTCTTTATCATTACTAAGGTATGTCATTGGTTCTTAAACTGTCTAAAATAAAGCTGTAAATAATTACCAGACTTTATAAGGCAACTTTTTTTTTAATAGTGTACCAGTAAATTTTAAATTACAAGCAGCCTACTCAAAAACAAGTGTGGAAGAATTAGAAAATATAATTAATCCTTACAGATTCAACTACCAGCAGAGCTGATTTGAAAGGTTATTCAATGAATATTTTCACTGACAACAAGAAAGCTTCAAGAAAAGGGAACTTGTTATAAAGTTCTACCTCCACCCCACCATACTGAGAACAAGTATGTGAGTGAAAAACCCTACCTCTACCCACCCCATCCCTTCAGCGGGGAAAAGAAACATTAATTTGTTTTCATAAATGGAGAGTCTGTGGAAAGCAGGGCAGGCATCCCAGCTTTAGAACTAACTACATGAAAGGTACTGAATACCTTCAGGTTTAATTCCTATGGAAAGAATGATGCGGTTAAGATTCTTAGAAATGCAAAAACTAGATGTGTCAGGTAGTTGGCCAGTGAGTAGTTAAATATTTCAAGAGCAAATCTTCCAACTGAAATAGTAACTGTTTCGCAAGAGTAAACCGTTTCTCTTCACCATTTCATAAAGTTAGCATTGAAAGTATACATGTACACATGGATTCCCTCACAGCTTTATTTTTGAAATCACAAGCAATTCAAAGTGACCATCATTGAGGCCTCTGTTCGAAGATGTTCCAGCAGAGCTGCCCCAGTTTTAAGATTAAACAGTATTGCACTTTAAGATGAACTAACTTTTAGGATCCTCTTCAAAGAGAAGTATTGCTTCCATCTGTGCTTTTCTTGGACTAAAAGCATATTGCAAAGTCTACTTTAAAAATTAATACTGCAGGGTACAGTAACACAGTAAAGTACCTGCCAATTTTAGAATCCTAAAGAACATTTCATTGTAAGAAACTGTTTAGCCCATAATTAGTATGAAGTGTACACAGTATTTTTTTTTCATTTCAGTGGTCCAAGATCCGAAGGTTCCCAGATACAATCTTGTTCTCTAATACTGCTCCAGGAGGGATGTCAATTCGGTCACCATGATTTGCAATGATGATAACTGTTCCCTATGTGACAGGGACAACAAAACAGAAGAGAGTGTACTTGAAACTGCAGCTGAAATGCAACTGATTTCCTTACCATCACCAAATTTATGCAGAATTCCATTTATAATGGAAGAGTTGTATTTATAAGCAGTATTAACCGTGAAAAATAACATGTTAAGGAAAATTGTATAATGTGTTCCTCTAACAATCCCAGCAGTAGTTCCAGATGCCCTGCCTCTATATCAGAGGTGGTACAGGAGTGAGACGCAAACCCAGTGCCACACGGTAACTGGCCCTTTCAAAGAACCACCTGCAAGGTAACCAGCATTATCTACCTATACTGAGGTGCTTGGTTTATATTTACGTATAGGTTTGGGTTTGTTTTGTTTTTAAAAACAGTTTACTGATCTATTTTTCATGTCTTAAGGGACACTGTTTAGATGAGGCAGTCTCAGCAATAAAGTTTCATGTACATATATATATGTGCATGTGTGTGTACACACACATGCACACATTCAATATCAACAGTAAAGCTCCATGTACATATATACATATGTATATATACACGTATGTATAAGCCTATACAGTTGACCCTAGAACATGTGTTTGAACTGTGCAAGCCCATTTACATGCATTTTTTCATACAGTACTATAAATGTTCCTTATGATTTCCTTAACATTTTTCCTCTAGCTTGCTTTGTTGTAAGAAAACGGTATATAGTAAAAATACCTAAAATATAAAATATAAAAGCTACTAAAATATATGTTAATCAACTTATCAGTAAGGCTTCCAGTCAGTAATAGGCTATTAATAGCTTTGGGGGAGTCAAAAGGTAAATGGGGATTTTTGCCTGCACGGGGCTCAGCACCCCAAACCCCCCATCTTGTTCAAGGGTCAACTGTATATACATCTACACACACTCCTATTTATATATATATATATATTTATACACATATATATATATATGTGTGTGTGTGTGTGTGTGTATACATACACACACACACACACACACATATATCCTTATGTTTTTTCACGATCTTCAAGTAATTTTACCAAGAAGAACACATGTAAATCTAGGTATAGAATTTTTTTTAAAAAATTAGGAAAAAAGCTGTTGTATCTTTGGGTCCAAGCTTTAATATTTATACCCATAGTCCTTCCTATTTCTTAAGCTAGAATGATACTCAAAGTACTCAAGTACTATGGTGTATGAATGAGTATCTTTATACTGATGGCAAGAGATTACCTTAACAGGAATAGATTGTATTCAGTATAAATGAAGTAGTCATTTTTTCTTTCATTAAGATTCAGATTTGGTGAGCTAATGCTAATATAACAGTGATTCTATTTTAAAGATGGTCATTTCAGTAAAATAGTACCAGTTAAATTAGTTCATGGTGTTTGCTTTCCATTTGAATGCTATATTCCACAAAGTTCCTCTATATGCAACAATTATGATTGTATTTTAACTATGTTGTATATCTATGGAAGACAGTATTAATACTAAATATTGTGGTAAGCTATTTATTTTTAAAATGTATTTATGTCTTATAAACAAACATCTGGTATAGAATAAGTATTCCTTAAAATAAAGGTAAATTTAGGACTAGAAAATGAAACTTATTTTGTAAAGCCAGAAGAACTAAAATTTTCATCCTAACAACACACCTTTAGTGAAACATTCTTGCCAAATGTCACATCTCCTGAAACTGTGAGGTGATCCAATTCAAGCATATCTGGTATACTTTCAAATCTCCTTAGATAATCCTGAACCTGAAAGAAAAAAAATTGTTTCAAAAATGGGTTAACAGAAAAAGGGGTTAAATTTACAAGATAGTTTAACTGAACTACAGAAAACATTCTGTTCATGGCCAAGCTCTGTTCTTCCCTCAATGGGAAGAACCAATTTATTAAGCACTTCCTATATGCTAAATCCTGTCTAGGAGAGACCAGGAGAGATGAAGACTGTCACTACAATCAAGCAATTTATAACACCAATGAGCAGATCAGACATTAATAAGTAAAAAGATAGGGGCGCCTGGGTGGCTCAGTTGGTTGAGCACCTGACTCTTGATTTTGACTCAGGTCATGAAGTCATGGTTCTTGAGTTCAAGCCCCCCATTCGGTGTCTCCCTCTCTTTCTGCTCCTCCCCCACTTGTGCTCTCTCAAAAATGAATGAATGAATTAGTCAAAAAATAACCAACATGCTAAGAATCCAGTGAGTAGTTCAGATTATCTGTAGTTTAGCTGGAAAGAGATCACACTGTTTGAAGCAAGCAGCCTGGAGCTGGGCTTTATGGGATGGGTAGGATTCAGGAGAGATGGAATATTTCATGAACAGCAGCACAAATTATCATAAATGATCATTATATTTCCCTCTTGTTTCCATAGATTTATAGGCAAGAGAAATGTTCTTACATGGCCTCATTTCCTATTTTGCTAAGAAAAATTAGAAGCAACCTGAAAAGTTTCACGGGCTTCTACTACCACCCAATAGCTCACTAGCCCATTACTCTGTCCCTCCTTGTACTGGGGTGAGACTGTTTACTTCAGCTTAAGGCCCATCCTTGTTATGGCCTAATTCAAGGATATAATCCAGTGATTCTTTGTCCTTCTTCAGTGTTTTCTCCCTCTGACTTCATCAATTCTGATCAATGTATAAACGTGCCATAAATTCTCCCATCTTTAAAAGGCAAAAAAATTTCTCAAATCCTTCCTTGAATCAGCAGCAGCACTTGACACAGGGTGATCATTCCTTCTGTCTTGAGACATTTTTCTAATTTGGTTTTCAGGACACACACATTCATGGTTTTCTATGCAGTTCCTCATCTGTAACTCCTCAGTCACCTTTGTGGCTCCCTCCACTTCATCCTCATTCTCTAAGCCTTGGACTAGCACCTTAGGGCTCAGTTGTTGGACACTTCCTCCCTAGGTGATCCCAATCTCATGGCTTTAAATACCAGCTGTACATGAAGGACATGTACCTAGCTCTTCTAGATCTCTCCTCTGATCTAGAAAGAGACTAATAAACTTGAAAGTATAAGAAATACAGTATCTCCAAAATTGAACTCCCCATCCTGTTCTCCCTAAACCTACTTCTCCCATTTTCGTAAATGGCAGGCAATTCCTGCTTCCAGTTGCACGAGCTAAAAACGCTGGCATCATTCCTAATCTTTTCTCTCTCATACTCCCCATCTAATCCAACAGCAAATCCTATAGGTACAACTTTCAAAATATCTCAGCATGTCAACCTTTTTTCACTATTCACACTGTCATCACCCAGTCAAATCCACCATTTCCTCTTGCTAGGATTCCTGCAATAGCCTGTTCCCTGGTTTCCCTGATTGTATACTTGCTCACAAGAACAGTCACTTCACAACCCTCAGCTCAACTCCCTGATAGTTTCTCATCACTGGGGGGGGGGGGGGGGGGGGGGAGCCACCTATATTCCTAATATTCAATTACAAGGTTCCACACATTGGGCTTGTTCCCTCTCTGACCAACTACTCCCCCCATCTCTCACTTGTTCGGCCTCAGCCAGGCTGTATGCTGTAATGTCCCTAAAACATATTCATCCTCTGAGCAACTAGCCATTAACCACTCAGCCCCTATTCTCAAATTAGAGCAGCTCAAGTTCGTATCTCCTGCAGGGTATGCAAGAGGCTAGGAAGAATGCGGAAAAGTGAAAGCAGGGTGAAGCTAGGTGGAAAAAGGGTTGGCAATACCCTCTCAGGATGAGGGGGAAATGGTGGGTACTTTTACCACCAGGAGTTTCCCAGCTCAACCAGGCTGATGAGAGGCACCCAAAACAGGGACTGATGCTATCCTGGAAAATGCAGCAAAGCCGCCGGACCCGGAATCGACACAATCAATATATGAGGCAGTACATATCTCCACACCAGGTGGCACTTAAACCACAACCAGGACTAGAATAGACCTGGAGAGTATGGCAGGTCTCCAGGCCAGCCACAAAGGCTCATGCTGTCAACTTCAGTAACCTCACAATATTTTATGTGATGGAATTTTTAAAAAATACTTATTTATGAGAGAGGACGAGCAAGAGCAGGAGAAGCAGAGAGGGGTAGAGAATCCCAAGCAGGCTCCGCACTGTCAGTGCAGAGCTTGATGTGGGGCTCGATCCCACGAACCATGATATCACAACCCAAGCTGAAACCAAGAGTCAGACACTTAACTGAATGAGCGACCCAGGAACCTCCATGATGAAATTTTTTGAATTCCAATTATCATGTTAGGATAGGGTTTTACTATACTTGATATTCCCCCTGCCCAGAATGCTTTTCACCCCAGATACTTGCGTGATACACATCATTTCTCAGTGACACCATCTCTCTAGGCACCCAGTATAAATTATACCACCACCACCACCACCACCCCCGGCCCACACATTCCCTATTCCTGCTTTTTCTCCATAGTATTTTCCATCACTTGACGTACTTTACATTTATTTGCTTATTATCATTCTTACCTCACCAGAATATTCACGAAGGCAAGGATTTTAGTCCATTTTATTTGCTGCTAAATACCCAGCACTTAGAACACTGCCTGGCACATGGTAGGGGCTCAATATTTTTTAAACAATTAACATTCTCCCACTGATGAAAACAGTAAATGGTTTTACAAGAGACATACAGTAAAATGTCCCATAAAGTAAAAAGTTTTTGTACTCTCTAGCCATCAGATTTCAAAATTGAGTTACATGTTTATCTTCAACAGCTGATTCCCTTTAAAAGACATCAAAGAGGACTGTAATAGGTCAGCAGATGGTATTTAGACCCCAATTCATTTGTGTATCATTTTCATACTTAAACATTTAAGAAATACAAATGTCCATGTATATCATATCTATAATTACATACCTTTGTAAAAGAACTGCCTAATTTAACCAAGGGCACTGTAGGAAATTCTCGCTTTTCACTCATTGTCAAAGATCCTGCATTAAGGCTATAGAGGTTTGACATCACAAGCAAGAGATCTGATGTGGTTTTGACAGGTAGGAAACGGCTCCTAGGAACATTAATACCTAGAGAGTTCTCAAAACTTTTAATGGCAGCCCCTACTGCAGTTTCTAACTGAATGACATTCAGGCCTCCATCCAAAGTCTGTAAGAAAGAAAAGGGGTCAGGGGAAGAGGAGAAACAGGTTTTAGCAACTTTGTTCCGTGGAGGCTATTAATATTTGGGGAGTGGTTTCAGACACCCATTGAAGGAAACAGAATTTTGAGAACTGATACTTAGCAAGCACATACCCTATGCCAGGTGCTTATACATACATGGTCTTTTTTTGGTATCATAACTCATCTCTTTATTAAAATTTCCATCTTATGATAAGGAACCAAAGGTTCACAGAAAGCTCATGCAAGGTGCCTGTCTGTGGCCAAAGGCCTTTAAGTGTCAGAGCAACAAGTAAAATCGAGGTCTGTTCTCTACCTTAGGGCCCTTGTCCTTTTGTCGCTACCACAGCCCAGGTCAAGTGACTGTCCCAGGGCTTGGCACACTAAAGAGGTGGGTGTAGACTCGGAAAGACAGGATCAGAAACTGGAGAGACTGACTAGGCAAAAAGGAGGGACCAGTGAATAGATGGACCAGAGGGAGTGGGGGCAGCGGGTCTATGTGCAGCCCACCTTCTATGATCTTAGGAACCAGGGAGACAGGGCTGCACCTCTGGCTTACCTTCGGATTCACAATGATTTCCATATCAATAGCATTTTGCTCTTGCAGTCTTTTAACTGCTGCGAGAGAGATCCATAGATTGTTTGTGTTAAATATTTTGAATTTTGATACAGACTTGAACTCATCAACATGTGCTTTTGGCACTTGCGCGATTTCCACCAGTCTCAGTTTGCCTTCATACTGAGTGAGGGTCCCACCCTAGGAAGGCAGAGAGGAGTGTGTGAGTGCCTCCACATCTCTCCCAGCCACAGCCATACCACACTATTTCTAGTCTGTCCAAGGACATCGATGATAAAATCCCCCAGAAATAAAATGCTTTCACACTGATTCAATCTGTGATATGCAGCAACATACATATCATAGTAGCAGAACCAAAGAAAATATTCAGGTTATGCATCTATTTATCCTGTGGACCCACCCTCTTGTCCATAATAAAAGCCATGGGGGTATAGCAGAGTCTTCCTCACTTTTCAGAGGTCTGCTACCAGAACAGCCATTCCTCCTACTCCCAAACCACGGCCCATCACTAAACTAATCCTACCTCCTCAGACCCTGCTCTGACTAGCTATAGGATCAGAGGAGAAGAGGGAAGACAGAGGCCCAAGTAGACGAGAAGTGACCCCAAGTGGCCCCACTTAGAGATGTTCTTAAAGTCATGAGGCCACAGCGGTATAGGAAGAGGGGAATGTTCACTCACATACCAGAGGGCATTTGCAAGAGGCACAGATAGAATCCAGCCCAGGGACTGACCATTTTAGTATTTACACATTGCCCACTTCTCTTATTATCGCTAAGTAGTAAAATCCTGTATACCATTTCATCAAATGCCAAGTGTCATAACCACTATACATTAAAAGTTATAAAACAAGTTTTTGCTTTGTGCCAAACTACATTTTTTTTCAACTACAGAGACATTACAGTGATAAAAAAATATATTTAAGTGCATAGGTAAGAACAAATAGTAAATTTTCAGTAAAGAAAGAATGAAATACGCACTTAGGCACCAAACTAGAAGAATATTAAAAGGTATGAAAAGACATTGAAACTGTTTTCACTTAGGATTCAGATTTATACTATGTACATGTGAAATTGTTTTCAGTTAAAATCATCCATATAGATTACTCAACAATACTGTTAAATCTTGATTTATATCCATACAGTTATGTCAGGTGGAACTTAGAGTGCTCTACAGAATACTATCTCACTCTGCCTTACAATGATGTTATCAAGTGGATGCATGTATTTTGCTTCACAAAGAAAACTGCAAGTAGAAATAGTTTGAACTACATAACCTATTAAATGTGAAGATACGAATCCCCAAACTGCTTCCTCAGTATTTACCTTTACATCTGCTCGTGTTTTATTTGTGACTTCCATGACAAATTCACAGGGTTTCCCATTGGGTGGGTTCATTAGATGATTAAGAATGTAAAGATCCACAGTGGCACCCAGATTATCTATGTTAGACACAAAAATATACTCTTTGCCTTCTCCTATAAGGGTGTCAAGCAAACCAGAGTTGTAGAAACTGGCGTAAATATCACCATGACCCGGAGGGTACCAAGCTTCTGTATTTTCCCCTGAGTATGAGACATCCTTTGCTACAGGCAGTAAAGATTCTTTATTAATCCTCGGGTACCTTTAAAGAAGACAGAAAGGTCTTTTTCAATATCAATTCTCAGATATTCCAGACCTTCAAGTAAAACGAAGTTAAATAAAACTGGGGTGCCTAAGTGGCTCAGTTAGTTAAGCATCCAACTTGATTTTGCCTCAAGTCATTATCTCAAGGTTTGTGAGTTTCAGCCATGCTTTGGGCTCCACACTGATGCTTTGAGTTATCTCTTTCTCCCTCTCTCTCTATTCCTCCCCCCAACCCTATGTGTGCACGTGTGCGCATGTTCTCTCAAAAATAAATTAAAAAAAAAAAAAAACCCACAAAGTTAAATAAAACTTTCCTCCTTTTCAGTCTATTGAACAGTAAGTAATCAGAGGGAAATCCATTTAAGAAAATGTTTTTTTAAAAAAATCTATTTGCCTTGTCCAGTAATCTGTTTTCTTGACCATAATATTTGCTACAAAAGAAATTTCCATCATCATACAAATGGGAGGACACCTCATTTTTAAGATAGTAATATATTTTATAACTCTTCAAGAGCGTCAGATTACTCTAATTTACTAAATTCACATTATGTAAATTTCTCAAACTTACTTGGTTTTGGGACTGTTCCTTTCCCTGCAAATCTGAGAAAATCTGTCCATTCTTATAAAGAGATATATGCAGGGGTGGTGCGGTTTCTTTCCCAGAAAAATCAACAGAAGATTAGTGCTCAGGGGCATGTGTGTCCTACCACTAGTGAGAACATGTCTCGGGGCTGGCAGTGGGGGGAAGGGGAACAGAGGAGCTGGCACTCTAACAGACCAAGGACCAACCAGAAAATATTTGGGGCAGAGGACCTGCAACTAGAAAGTATCCATGAAAAAACAGATTAAAAGAAAAAAAAAAAAACCTAAGGGTACAACTTTAGAAATATCCATTCTGTACAAGCTCATATAGCCCCACATCCATCCTTAAAAGGAAGACTTCTTTTCCCAGTTGCCTGGGCTTTGTCAAAATCCATCATCTGAATTCCTTTCTACAGGCATATCTCAGACATGGTGCAGTTTCTGCTCCACACCACAGCAGTAAAGCCAAGTACAGCAATAAAGCGAGTCCAGTAATTTTTTTTTTTTTTTTGCTTCCCAATGCATATAAAAATTGTTTACACTAGCATTTGGTCTTAAAGATATACATACCATAATTAAAAAGACACTATTGCTAAAAAATGATAACCATCAATGTGGGCTTTCAGCAAGTCATAATCACTGATCACAGGTGACCATAACAAATATAATAATAAAACATCTGAAATATTGTGAAAATACCAAAATGTGACACAGACACAAAGTGAGCAAACAATGTTGGAAAAGTGGCACCAATACCAACAGACTTACTTGTTCCATGCAAGGTCACCACAAACCTTCAGTTTGTGAACAACTACAGTATCTGCAAAGCGCAATAAAGTAGAGTGCAATCTAACAAGGTGTGACTGTGCTTCCCCTCCCCAAAGATGATTTTTTTCCAAAAGTTAGTCAATTCCCCTCAAGCCTATTCAGGATGTTGAATAAACTTCTTCTCATATGAAAGAAAGGTATCAATACTGTAGAATATGTAAAGATTTTCCTTGACCCATGTGGATCCCAAGTATGCCCTTAGAAAGCCAAGACCTAAACAAGCTTCAAATATTCTGAACATGGAACAAGCAGATTTTCTCTTCAGAATGGAGGTTATAGAATCAGAGTGACTAATAATCACCTATCTATGAACAAGTGTTCAGCCTCTGAAGGCACTAAGCACTTGCAAACATGGGTTTCTGGCACATGCGCATCTTACGCTGCTCTGTTTCAACAAGAGAAAAGGTATTTCCCAGGAATAACATCCCCCAAACGTATTTTTTTTTTTTACTTATCATACCTGCTTTGATTAAAAGTGTAGATTTTCACACGACAGTGATTGTACTTCTGTAGTATTTTTTTTGTATCCTCATCCGTGTTAAAAGAATTCATTAGAACAAGAGGAACATCTGTGTTGTAGGTTTTGTTTAAATGCTAGGGAGGAAAATAACATTACTCAGACTTACTTTTCTCTCACTTAAAAGTGTAAAAGTCTTAATGGTTAATCACAAAGTATCCAAAACATTACCTATATGCAGCCAAATATAAATATTTAGCATAAGCCAGACATTTTGCTAAATAGTTCACCAGGTACTTGCTCATTAAGTCACAATCCTATGAGACAGAAAGAAACACTTGTCTGCATTATATGGATGCTCAACTGATTCCCAGAGAGGCACAGTCCAAGTCCAGAGTTGTGTGCTCAGCCAGTGCCCTGTGGCCTTACTGGATAGGCAAATGCTGACTACGCATTTACTCTGTCCAGAGCACAGTGGGGATGAAAGTACTCTCGGAATTCACGTCAAGAACCGAAGCACTCCCCAACTGAAACCTTTCCAATCTTTAGGAAGAATTAAGGGGCAACACAGAATGGGAGAAAGCAAGTTCTCAGAAGTCAGACTACTGTCTTGGGCAAGTACACCAACCTCTCTGTGCCTTGGTTTCCTCACCTGTAATATGGGGATGATAATAAAGAGTACTAGCTGTTGAGTCAATCCATGCAGAGAGCTCAGAGTAACACTTAGCATACAGTACACACTAGATAAATGTGAGCTGCTGCTACTGCTAGTGTTGTAGTTGTCAGGGTCGTAGTGATAAAGAGATTTTTTTTTTTTCCAAAAGGCCACTGCCCCTGAAGAATTTAAGGTCTGTGATTAACAACTTTATCGTAAGAGAGAGAGTTCTTAGCATCCATGACACCCAGCCAGATCTGGAAATTCTCCCTGGCCTCCCCAAAGAGGTTAATAAAGCCAGGTCATCCCAGCTGTGAGGAAGGCTGCCGCTAGAAAGAAATTTGGGAGAGGAGTAGGGAGATCAAAGGAAAATCCAAAAAGATCCAGAATTTTCAACCACCATAAATGCTATTTAAAGATCAAAAGCTTTTACATCACCCCAAGGATTTGCCCTTGGGAACACCAAACCTTTTTATATACTAATAAAAAAACTAAAGATAGCAAGCTCCTTAACCAACTCAAATCCACATCTGTTATTTCATAAGATAACACGTATAATAACCTAAAATTGACTTTAGTAGTTTATGAGAAAGGCTGAATGTTACTCACTTCAATTTGCTGAACGGTCAAATCCAAAAAGGTATTCTCATTCCTCACACCAATCAGACTTTTTGGACCTTTGCAGCCCATGCTGGTTCCCAAACCACCGTTGAGTTTCACCACCACCAGCTTATTTAGTACAGAAGATATATTATCAGGTAAGCCCCTGGCCTTTATCTTTTCATAGGGTTGAATCTGAAATTTAAAAAACAGAATTCAATAGTTTTGGTTTGGTTTTTTTTAATGTTTATTCATTTTTGAGCTAGAGAGACAGAGCATAAGCAGGAGACGGGCAGAGAGAGAGGGAGACACAGAATCTGAAGCAAGCTCCAGGCTCTGCACTGTCAGTACAGAGCCCAACGCAGGGCTCAAACTCACAAACTGCAAGATCATGACCTGACCTAAAGTCAGATGCTTAACTGAGCCACCCAGGTGCCCCTAGATTTCAAGTAGTTTTATGAGAGGTTAAATCCAGTCAATCTAAGGGTTATTTCCATGTGTCCTTTGAGTTTTGCTTTCTCCACAGAAAGTTTCAACTGCATTTGCTTTAAAGTCACAAGTCCTTCTGGTACAAAATCAAGTACTTACTGGCAACTTCTCTTGCACAAAGTAGTAGTTCAGTGGTTCATTTACATTCCAATGGAGTACAAGAAGGGGAAAAAGTTACAGTATACAAATACTTGCCTGGCTGATGAGAACATCTAAGTCTCCTGGACTGACTTCAGAAACTCAGAATTCCTAATTTGTTTCCATACAGTAAATGGGATACATAAAACTCATCAAATCTGTAAATATTTCTGGCACAGTATGGATCTACTTCAATTCTGGAAAAGTACATATATTACCACATATTATTCCTTCTACGAAAGGAGGCAAAAACAAAAACCAAAATATTCCTTGCAATTTTCCAACAGTAAGTCTCCCCTGAAGAGGAAGGTGGCGTAGGGATTTTGTCATACTTCTAAGTTAGAATTTAACTGTCAGACATCATTGTGTAGAGCTCGTATTAGAAAACTGAGTGTGTTCTCACTGCTCCAATACTCTGATGGGGCGAGAAAGGCAAGAGTTGGGGCTGGAGAGAATCTCCTTGTTTGTTTCCAGGAGCGCAGAGCATTACTCCTCAACTTCTCCCTCCTAGGACAGGAACAACCACACAGTGGGAGACCAAATTCTTTTGTTCAAAGCAGAAGCACAAGCAAGTCTAAGTATCTTCTAGTAAAAATAGAGCTTGTGCAAAGGTCACAAATCTAACCATTTGCAGGACTTTATTATCCTTCTTTATTGGAATACATCATCAAATGTACACATCGGTTATAACATCATGGTGTGGGACAATTAACACTTGAGGGGACTGAAGAAATAAAACCATATAGTAAGTGCTCACTTACTATGAGCTGAGCTCTTTTTGTTTTGCTACCTGTAGAGGTGTGTGGGTGGATGGTGGATGAAGTCTATAATTGGGAAAGGAGTTCATGGGCTCACACTCCAGTGATTAGGTTGTGGAGGCAAAAATCCCTTTATACTTGGTCAAACATACATATGTGTCCTATGTCGATTCCTGACCACACAATTTCTGCTATTAACAGCTCTTTCCACACAAAGTAGTCTGAGACTCTTATTACCTCTACCCTTCATGACACCTTGTTAACTGCCAACTGCAGACAAATGCACTTTTTGCTTGGTGCAAACAGTGAGAAAGAAGAAGCACTCTTCTCCAAGACTCTCTACTGGTTACCATTCCAATTATCACTAGTGCCACTAGGTAGTCTTTAGCAGTCATTAATATTTAAAAGGGCTGGTGACACAGAAAGACCAGGAAGACAGGCTTGTGGGCATCATGGCCTTCAATGGAAGCTACCTCAATACTTGGATGCTAACCACCAAGGAGAAGAAAGATAAGGACGCAGGAAAGAACATGGACCATACTGGTTGCTTCCCGTGCAATACTTGGTCCAGTTGAGGACAACATATGGTTGAAAACAACTTGGATACCCAACACACACACACACACACACACACACACACACACACACACACACACACACACACACACACACACTACCCAGGGCGCAGGTGACTGACATTCCCTGGAGGATGTTTCGACTCCACTGCCATGAACATTGTTTCTTCAGCATGTCAGAGAAACTGATAATATTGTTTGGGGAAAAAAAGTCCAATTTAAGTGCTATACTACTAGAAAAGTAAGAGGAGATGACAGAGCTGGAACTTGTCACCCTAATAAAACATGGCAGTTTATAATCCTTTCCACAGCCCAGCTGATGAAATCAACCAGTGAAAGGAATGCAACTGTGATATAATGGCTTCAAATAGTCTTATTATTAGGTTAGGAGAATTTCTTGGGCACATTACATTTACTCAAAGAGTTAGCAAATGGAACCAAGCCAATTATTTTCCAATTATCTTTTAAAAGCCAAGAATTTCCATTTAGCAGTTACTTTTGACTTCCCAAAAAAGACTGTTATCACGGAGGTCTCAAAACGGTGTAAAAATCAATTTAACTGAAATTCCCTAGTTCATGCATTCATTTTAGGTAAAATTATCAGTTCAGAAATATTTTTACCTATTTAATGCTTCCTTTAATATATTTTTTAAAAATAAATAAAAACATTTTTTCTACATATGAGACAGGCCTACATTTTCCAATTTCACCTAAAAAATTTTTCATTATGAAATGGCATACATACAAATTCATAAAATATATACAGCTTTAAGTCAAATAACCTAAATAAATAAGAATAGTGCCACAACTTAGAAGTCTCCTGGAGTTTGTCCCTGATCATATTCCTCTTTCACCCTTAGTGGTAACCACCATCTTGACTTTTTCTCTATTTTTACCATATGTATCTATAATGATAATATTTTACTTAATTTCATCTCTAAACTTTTGACTTGCTTCTTTAATCCACACTTATATTTAAGAATAATTCACATCAATGCCTGAAGCTATAGTATATTCACTTTTCACCATCTAGTATTCAATTTATATATCCACTAAATGAAATAAAACTGTCACTATTCACTGATGATATAACTTTATACAGAGAAAGTCCAAAGACCCTACAAATAAGTTATTAGAATAAGGAGAGCATAGCAACATTGAAGATACATAATCAAAGTTTTAAAAAAATAACAACTGCTTTTAGAGCCCTTGTACCCTGCTGGTAAGAATGTAAAAAGGTGTCCAGCTATTAAGAAAAAAAAGTATTGTGGTTCCTAAAAAAATTTTAAATAGAATACCATATGATCTACCAAGTCCACTTCTGGATATACACCCCAAAGAACTGAAAGCAAGTTCTCAAAGAGATGTTTGCACACTCACCTTCATTATTCACGATAGCCAAAAAGTGGAAGCAACTCAAATGTCTATCAAGAGATGAATGGATAAAACATGCAATATACCATCCATATACATGCAGTGGAAGATCATTTGGCTTCAACAAGGGAAAAACATTCTGACATACTACAATATGAATGAAGTATGTTAAAGTGAAATAAGCCAGTCATAAAAAGGCAATACCTGTATGATTCAGCTTATATGGGGCACCTAGAGTAGTCAGATCCTATAGACAGAAAGTAGAAGGGTGGTTACCAAGGATTGGGGTAGGGAGGAATGGGGGAGTTGTTTAATGGGAACAGTTTTAGTTTTGCAAGACCAAAGATTCTGGGGGTTGGTTGCATAGCAATGTGAATGTACTAATGAAGTGTATGTTTAGAAATGTTTAAAGATGATTTAAAGAAGATTAAGTGTCTATATATATGAAGAATTAGAAAACAGAATTGATTAAAAATTGCAAACGGCAAATATTTAGGAATAAACCTAACAAAAGATATCCAAGACTTCTATACTCAACACTATAGAACATTTCTGAGAAAAATGAAAAGACTTAAATAAATTCAAGGATGTATTTATCATGTTTATAAACTTGAAGACTTACAAATGTAAAGATGCCAATTCTTCCCAAACTGACCACTGCAATCCTACCGAAAGCACAACAGTTTTTTTGTGTGGAAACTGACAAGCCAATTTAAAAGTGTATGAAAATGCAAAGGGCAATGAATAGACAAGACACTCGCAAAGAAAACCATCAAGTTGGGAGAACCAACTTCGTAACGGTCTTTTCTAATTGTAGTAGCATAAAATTTGCCATCCTAGCCATTTTTAAGTGTATGATTCAATAGTGTTAAGTATATTCACGCTGTTGGGCAACCAATCTCCTTAATTATTTTTGTCTTGCAAAACTGGAACTATACTCATTAAAACACATGTCCCCACTTCCTCCTCCACCCAGTTCCGGGCAACCACCCTTGTATCTTCTGCCTCTCGGAGTCTGACTACGCTAGGAACCTCGTACAAGTGGAATGAAAGTGTTTGTTTGTGCTGGACTTACTTCATTTTGCCTAACATCCTCAAGATTCATTTAGCATTCTTTCTTAACAGTGGCTTGTATGTTTGAGGATATTCTAAATTAATGCGGATTTTTCCAGAAGTCTATATTTAAAGTTTCTTTGTGTGTATGAAAAATATATGAGAAAAGGGAGGCTGGTATGAAGGACTAGAATACAGGTACAGCTTGACAAATTTATGGCAAATTGAATATTAGAAAACTTATGTAAAAGTTATAAAATTCAATAATTGCAGATATTAAAAATGGAATAGGATACAAGTTCTGAAGTCTCAGTTTAATAATCAAAAAATGGATTCTTAAGAGTTTATCGATATACCCTAACTTTGAATTTTAAAAAATTAAAGGATGAAAAGAAAATTACAAGCATAACCACAGTTCTAAAAGTAGGAACTGAAGAAAATGCTGTTCTTCAGATACACGTGAGAACAATGAAGAATGGCAGGATGTGGGTTTCAAACATCATTCAATACCTGTGTTCTCAATTGCCTCATATCTCTAAGGGATAGGCAGCCTGTCATTTCAAGGGAAAAGCTACAGAAATATAAACAGTATAAAAACATTTCTTCAATATTTAAGTATATTATAATCAAAACATTAACAGGATGTCAGTTTTTTCACTGTCACTCTCTAGACATAGTGCTGTCCACTAGAACTTTCTGTAATTATGGAAATGTCTTATTTGTAATGGCCACATGTGGCTGTTGAGCATTTGAAATGTGGCTAATGCAACTAAGGAACTGTAGTTTTCATTTTATTTAATATTAATGT